GGGGGGTAGGTTAACTGAAGACTCTAAATTGACTTTAGGTGTGAATGTGAGTGTGAATGGTTGTATGTCTCCACATGTCAGCCCTGATGTACCCCACCTCCTGCAAATGTTAGATTGCCAGCTGAGATCCTCAAAGGATAAGAGAGATATATATATAATGGATGGCTGAATGGAACATATTCTGCACGGTACCTGGAAACAGCTTGACCATCCTAATATTTCATATGTACTTCAGATTCTGGAGTTCCTACACCAATATGGGGGCATGTGGCTGTAATATCACTAACCTGAGGAAAAGCATCTATTATATGCAATGTGAGTGTCTATAAAACCAATTATTATTCTAGTTAAGGCCAAGTTAGATTACTTTCTTTCTTCATTTGACCTGAACCTTAGAGAAATGGAGCTTAGTGGATGACATCATATTTTAATAGTTTAACACAAGTTACCAATAAACAAACACAGTTTCAAAACTTTTCTAAAATAATCTACTGTCTGAGGCAGATGAAGAACACGAAGAAATTTGAGATTTAACATTGTACCATAACATTTTATAGTCACACGATGACCTAGAATGATAGCAACACTATAAACTTGATATAAAAATCACCAGTGGGCCAGAGTCTGATAATCAGACATGTCTCTGATGTTGTGTTGCTCCAGAAGATGAAGCAGAAGAGATGAAGAGATTCTCTGCGCTGTGGGTTCTCAGGTTTTGTTGCAGAGACTCTTGGATCCTCGTCATCCTCACACCTCCGCAGCTTAAAGTTTTCTTATTCGAACAGGACTTTAAATAACAGTGTCCAGAGTGAACAGAGAAATACAAATACCATTTAGCAATCCATGAAAACAATCACATGTGAGATTGAGTGACTCAACTGGTGATTATTTACACTAAAGAATAATCTTGGTACTATGACATTGAGGCTTTCTTTTATTATGATCAGCATGTTTCTTCTTTAATGAAGCAGTCACTGACAAAATAAGACAAGAAAACCCATTTTACACACACACGCAGGTGATGTGGTTTAATGGAAAACAGGGAAAACAACACTGGACCTGCTCATTACAGACTGGTGACAATAGAGGCTGCAATTACACTGAGACACAAAAAGGTGACACACACCTTGTATAGTTTGTTGTGCAAATTGAACGGGGGTCGTAAAAAAACTGAGAACAAGCAATGTGGGCAATCATGATAACACCTGTCAAACAAGCTTCTCACAAGGTGAAGAGAACCAAGAGAGAAGAGCAGCGGCTAAAATCAACAGAATCAGGTACCAGCGCTCCATGTTTGTTAAGCTGATATTTCTAATATTCATTAAAACATTGGGTCAAAGGCCTTTAACGATCCGGCCTTTCCCATTCAAAGACAATTCAAAAGCCACAGAAAAACACCAGGATGAAAATGAACCCCTTTGCCCCGGACACCACAACAAACCTCGAGCTTTTATGGCCCTTCTTGTGTTGCTGGAGTATCTTTAGCCATATTTGAACCATTTGGGGCTAAATTCTTATGTAAAAATGTGTCTTATACAAATTTGATGCTGTTACATCATTATATCTAAAGCCTAAAACTAAGGTCATTGTTTGTATGGATCAGGGAAGAAGCGGTTACATTTTGGTGAAGATCCACATCAGGGGGCAGATCCAGGATTTTTTTCTCTTTTGTCTACGTCCCCAGGGAAAGTTTCATGGACCTTGATGAAAAACAATTTGCAGCTTAATTGAATATATGGGCCTTTACTGTTGGGCCTTGGCAGAGGAATGTTCTCTGCTTAGTGCTATTCTAGTGTGTCACAGCTTTTTTTTGCCCACCCCATGTGCCAGCAAGAAAAAATAAGCTGATTATGTAATACAGCTATTCTTTGTGGAATTTCTACCAACTACCCCATAACAGAGAATTAGTAAAAACACTGTCAAAAATACTGACATTTTAAGAAACACCACCAAAGATTTATCTCCACGTGTAGAAATAAATATGCATTTTTCTGTCATTTTTCCTAAAATCCCTTGTGTCCTCCATTTCCCTCTATTTGCTTCCTATTCATTGATTTCACAACAGGTGCAGACAGGGAGTAGAGGAAGTTTCCATTCTGCTAATTCAGCATAGTTCCTTTGAAACACAGCAATTAAACGCATGAAGGCGACAGGAATCGAAACACAGATGTTGTGTCACATATCCGGAAGGAAATCAACTCACATGCTTACATCAGGGGTTGATTTTCAAAACAAGTAAACACTGAAATGTAAGGATATTTAAATGCTGAAACACGCCGTTGATGTCGTGGTTCAAACCACATTTGCTAAAACACTGTTAACACCTGACACGTTCTGCTACTACTTGCGGCAAGAACCAAATCATTGACTCTTGAGAATGTTTCTTCTCATCAACCAATCTGTCATAAGATTGAGTCACGTTTCTCTTTCAAAAATATCATGTGTTTGCTTGTGTCATCACGTAAAGAAAGGTTGAATCCACAGCTCATGTAAATAATTACTTATTAAACAAGAATAAACTCTCAGTCGAGCGCACGTCAGCCAAGGACGAACAATCCTACACATGGTTGTCAAGTTTTTAAGTCAAGACAAAACAAAAAGGGACGTTTCCTAATAACCCAAAATAATGTATTTGTCATAAAACAACCAAAAAAAGTGAGAAAAATCCTGGATCTGGCCTTTAACCCTCACCAAAGGGAGATTTAGCAACTACATTTTATGGGTTCTTCTTTGAGGCACCAACAAACAGACCCAGAAGAACACATAACCTCCTTAGTGGAGGTAATGATCTGCATTAAAACACACAAAACACAAGGAAGATAAGTATGAAAATGTTAAGACTTTATGAGAGGA